ATGTTCCTGCTGGGCGCTGGCTCCAAAACACGGGCACTTTGCTAACTGATCTCACATTGGGGTTCATGGATGTTTGGGTCTGTTAAAGGCTTAGGACGATAGCCGAAGCGCAACCATAACACAGCTCGAGTGACCGTATGTTTTGCGTGTAAACTTCCTGTGTACACCGCCAAACACCATGGACGCCTTGTAGTGGGGCTTATGGCGTATGAATTTCAAACCCTAAACCCCACACCCGCTTGAAGGACGCTGTTTAGTAACCCTTGAAGGGGACCCAATTGCAGAACCTCTGAAAGGGACCTTATTGCAGTACCCTTAAAGGCGGACCCTACTGGAGAACACTATAGCACCCCGTAAGGCAGCCTTATAGTACACCTATAGGGGGCCCAGTTCTGGAACCCTATAGCACCCTTAAAGGGACCCTCTCAAAGAACTCTACAGCACCGTTCAAGGGGACCCCCATTATAGAACCGGTGCTGTTATGGGAACCTGTAAAGGAACCCTTATCAGACCCCTTTGAACCCCTGAGGTGATCGAGATGCCCGGTGGCCACATGTGGTTTCAGAACAACAGCTCGAGGCTTTCCCTTTCCGAAAGTTCGGGATTTCAAGCAAAGTTTGGGGCTCAAGGTGTGGATAGCTGGGGTTCTAGAGTTGGGTTTTAGGGTTTAGGGTTTGGGACGGTGTGGGCGGATGATAGGCTGAGGCACTTGGGCAGGCAATGGTTTGCGCTGTTCTGTCGCTACCTCCTGAGGTGCGAAGCGCTCGCCATCGAGCTTGACAGGTTGATGCGAAGATTTCGCTGATCTTCTGAGTCGCGATACCGGGAACAGGAGCTGACAGCGCATGGATAGCTTCTTCCGTCGTGCCGAGGGCAAAAATGGCCGCGTGCTCCTATCGTGAGCCATCCAGGAACCCAAGGCCTGAAAGGTACCAGTGGGCGCCCGAATAGGATCCGAACTGGCCGACCAGCCTCCACGCATCACAGCTAAGACTGAGCTTGAAGGCCCTGGAATGCAAGCTGTTGCTTTAGGGTTGAAGCTTGGGGGGCTTCCTTGTGCCAAGGCGGCACTTGCTCTGTCACTGTTCACCAGACTGAGCGCTGAAGCATGCTAACCCTAAGGTTAAACCTGTGCTAGATACCAACATAATCACGAGGATCGTTAGTTGACTCCAATTCCAATCAAAATCAACCCTAACCCTATCCTTGTCATTCGCCTTAATGTCAATGGTGACCGTAACATTCGCCCTGACAGCAAAGGCCGTCCATAGACGGCTTAATGCCACCTAAAACCTGAACCCGATGTTTCTGTTATTCACGTGACAACCTTAGTCAGCTAGAAGAAATCGTAGTGGTGGCTGTGATAACCCTGATATCCTGGGGTCCCTGTTATTGTTAAACCTGCAGTACTAGCCCCCTATTTACACCACAACTGATCCGAATAATGCCCTGGTTGTTACCTGTTGTATAGTATGCTAAGCGGAATCGAATCCGAATAGTACTGACCTTGAACGAACCCCATTGACGAACCTTATTGGCAACACCAACCCGTAACACGCACAAACAACAGATGAAATACACATTGCTTGCTAGGAACAAGTTGGTCTCGCAGTGAAATACCAACTTTCCCTAGGAAAAAGATGGTTTTGGGTCGACAAACCAACCTTTTCCCTAGGCAAGAAGATGGCTTCGCACCGAAAAACCAAATTTATTCTTAGGGAAACCAAAAAAACAAAAACCATTTTTTGGTAACCTATACGGACTTACTCCAAAAAAATTGTTTCTTCTCGGACACAGTTGGTTTTCCTGCCCAACACCATCTTTCTCCTTAGGAAAAAATGGTTTTCGGCCACAGAACTAACTTTTTCCGAGCAACAAGGTGGTTTTGGTTTAGAAAAACTTGTTTTTTCCTAGGAAAAAGATGGTTTGGGGCTGAAAAACCAGCTTTTTCCTAGGAAAACGATGGTTTGGGGCTGAAAAACCAATCTTTTCCCAGAAAAACAACGCAGGAAAACAGATTTTCCTAGTGGAAACAAACAACATCTTTTCGGAGTCTGGCCGTATAGTTTCCCAAAAGAGTGTTTTTTTTTGGCTTTCCCTAGGAAAAGCTGGGTTTTCGGTCCAAAACCATCTTTTTGCTAGGGGAAATTTTGCTTTTTGCGCCGGAAGCCAATTTTTTCTCGGGATATAGCCAACAGAACAATCTTTTTGGAGTCTGGCTGTATAGTTTCCCAAGCGATGTAGTTTTTGTTTGTTTGTTTTCCCTAGGAAACAGTTGTTTTTTGATTGGAAGAGTACACTGTTGCCGTCAAGTGTGTGCTCACGTTGAATCTAAACTTTAAACGAGTTGCTTGGCGGTTGAATCTTGATTGGAAGAGTACAGTGTTGCCGTTGAGTGCGTCATCACGTCGAGCCTGGCGCATTCGCTTGAAGTATTGGCAGTCTTTCAGGGATGCGGCATCCCGACCTGCCGGAAAAGCTGGTTTAACACAGCATTTAATGTACGTTGCAAAACGAGGGTCGGTAGTTCATGGGGGGGCTACCATCTCTCTCTCTCTATATATATATATATACACACATAATTATGTATGTGTGTGTATACGCATCACATACACATGCATATCAGGTCTTCCGCAGCACCAGGCAGCGTGGTGAGTCAGCGAAGTCACCTTCACGACAGCTAGCGCGTGGAAAGATGGTCTGCGCCGGGTCGGTCCGGCATGACTTTGGGGGCATTAAGGGCCATCGAATAGTCTGAGGAATCCATGGATGCGCAGCTCAAAGTACAGACCCTGGTGCCTAGAGTGCGTTTTCGGATGGTTTCATCACGACCTTTGCTTTCCATGGGTATGCATGCGTACGCTGCATGCTTCTCAGTCGTGGTATGCTTCGCGCAGCATGTAGGCTCGCGAGGTACTCGAATGAATTGACAACTGGTGTCCTACATGGGTGGTTGTCAAAATTATGGTCCCTTTTTGGGTCCTTATTATAATACGGCACCTATCATTTAGGGTACCCCAAAAGGGACCATAATTTTGACAACTACCCACATGTATTTGAGCCTTCATGGCCTCCCGGTTCGGCCTTTTTCAGGACCTGCACGTGGCCTGCAAAGCGCTGGCATGCCTCGGTGCATCCATGGCCGTTCGCCGCGTCGCGGGACTGGCGGCTGAAGCAGGAGACTATTCGGGTGAGGATCCCCCCCTTTGTGCGGTGGGCACATCTGCTGCAGGACGTGGCCTTTATGTTAAGAAGCCGATTCTTCAGCGGGAGGTCATTCTGAAGGATGTGGCTGTGGTGGATTCAGTCTGTCCACAGGAAAGGATTCAGAAGGTCTTCTCTACCAGGCCCCCCGAGCCGTCTCGAGCGCAACGGGAGCCGATATGGGGAATGGTTACGAACTTTGTCTATCTCTTGCAAGAGGTCCCAGGGCACCTAAACTTGAGTGAGGGCGCGAGCCAAGCAAGCCAAGAAGGCGCAGGGATGCGAGAACGGCGTCGGCGATTGGAGCTTTTTGCCGCATTCTACAGACCGAAGCTTCAGGATGCAAAAAGCAAGTTGTACAAGCTGCACGCCGCAGAGATGCACGAAGCAATGGACCCGACCTTCCAGCAGTCAGTGGCTTCGGATGTGGTGGCTGACTTGCTTACTGTCGTCCGGCTTGATGCACACATAGTGCGCGAGGAAGGAGCGATGAACGGCTTGGGCTTGTTTTTCTGGCTTCATTTGGCAAACCACAGCTGCTGTCCGAATGCTTTCTTCCACACGCACACTCAGGGAGGCCGTGCCAAGGCGACTCTTTATGCCTTGCGGCCCTTAGCCTCTGGTGAGGAGGTTTGCATTTCATACGTGGATGGACAGACTCTCCTAAGCCCTGTACAAGTCAGGCGTCGCATCATCCAGAATCAGTTCGGGTTCCTCTGCGTCTGCAGCCGGTGCCGTGAAGAGAGCCGAGAAGCCCAGCCCGGGCACCCTAGTGTCTCCTAGAGTCACAACTGCAGAAGTGAAGGCAAAGAAAGAGGAAACGTCAGTTAACGATCTGTTGGGAGCTCAGCACCGTGATGACGATGCTAGTATACGAGTGTGTCTTCGCTCCAGTTGTTCTTGTCGACGTTCATGGCGAAGCTTGTGGACCTGGAGCTCCGTGGAAGACTGAGTTGCTTCATGATCAGGAACTGGCCGTGCTAGAGGGTTTGCATCATCCAGCTTCGCTTCGAAGACTCCCCCCCAGACCAGCTGAGCCCGGCATAAGCCCAACAAAAAAGTCATTTTGCCGATGTCATGTTGTCGCGAGCTCTAGTAGTCTACTAGTCTGCAGTAGTACGGCATTCTGCAAACCTGTTCTGACTTGTTGGCTTCTTTAGCCAAATCCGAGCTGAAACCATGCTTTCTCCATCAGGTCCTACTTCCAACACTACGACCAAAACCCCCGATAAAACAGCACCATGCAAAGCTTTGCATGCTAATCGCATTGATTGGCTCTCGGTTTGCTCCGCTGTCGTGCGGTGATCTGCGGCTCAGGGCATGGATGTCCTGAAGTTGCCGTTCTTTCTGCCGCCATCTCCAAAGCTGGTTGGAATGTTTGCGGGCCATGTTTGTAGAAAACAAGCTAAGCAGCAACACTTGATCGTGTCTTTAGTCAGTCGGCACTGATGATTTTTATGTGCCGCTGGACAATAGCTCTCAGACCATCAGCAAAAATCGCAGTTCAAAGCTTCAGATACCTACCTTACAAAAGCAGTCCAAAACACGAAAAAGTTCAGAATCGGGTTGGAAGTTTTGCGCCGGTCGATTCCGCCATGGCTGAAGCCACGATCTGAGTTTGCTGTGAAATTCCGCCGGAAAGAGTGCGGGTACATGTCCTACCCAAGCTACAAAGTCTGTTGAAGAGTCAGAGACTCAGAAGCTCACAATGGGTATACCTATAGTCTCCAGGAACTACAATGGAGACTATAGGTACGGCTTCCTAAACTGCAACATGTCTGATGGGAATGCAGGCCATGGCTGTCGATTCCCCAGTGAGCAGAAGCGGTGGCCTTAGCAGCTTGCGTCGTGAGGATCCTGTGCCGTACACGACAGTCAGATGAAAGTTGAAGCAATGCAGCAAATATCTACCCAGTTCCGTTTGTGATATCGTCATAGTACAGCAACAGCAGCATCTGCTACTACTACTACTACTACTACTACTACTACTACTGCTACTGCTACTACTACTACTACTACTACTACTACTACCACCTACTACTACTGCTACTACTACTACTACTACTACTACTACTACTACTACGACGGCGACGACGACGAGGGCGACGACTTCTTCTACCACGACTACCACTGCTAGCTTTGGCAACAACAGCAAAAGCACTCTGTTTCTGGTGAGGGAGCTGCAACCTGACGGTGGCACTCGTCCAGCGCAAGAGGAGCTGTTCCGTCCTCTAGCAAGACAAATGACGGTGGTGAGATGTGGTACGCTTCCGGCAGCTACTTGATATCCCACAGTTTTAGATGCTCGTCCGTCCGGTTGATTATTTTAGCGACTTCATGCCACATGCCCTGTTTATGCCCTTGCCAAAGTTGAGCTTCATACGTGCCTCAACCAAAGCTTCATCCACAGACCTTGAACCAGTCATTGAAAGAAGACAAAGTGCTGGTTGTCGCTCTGAACTGCGGCTGGGGCATGCGAGCTCACAGGTCCAGAGAGTATGATCGAAGCGATTGACAACTGCGACGAGGCAGGAAGTAAGCAAGTGTTACTCATTCTTTCATCCAAGTACTCGTACGCTCATTCCTGCATACGCACATTCATACTTACATGCGTACATACCGACGACGGACATCGGCACATGCACACATGCATTCATTCATTCTTTCATGCATTATCCGTTCATACATTCATTCATGCGTTCGTTCATTCATTCATTCATTCATTCATTCATTCATTCAATCATTCATTCATGCATGCAGTCATGCATTCATGAATTTGTTACTTAGTTCATTCATTGGTTCATTCGTTCATTCATTCATTCATTCATTCATTCATTCATTCATTCATTCATTCACTTCTTCAAGTAACTCACTCACTCACTCACTCACTCACTCATTCATGCATTCATTCATGCAGTCATTCAGTAGTCCTTCATTACTTCATTACTTCATCCATTCAAGCATTAAATCAGTCATCCATTTATTCGTTCATACATTCAGACATGCACACATTTATACATTCATGTGGACATGTATGCATACATAGCCAAACACACATACATGGATGCATGCATACATACATAAGTAGTAAGTAGATAGATGGACAGATTGATGGATGGATGGATGGTTTCACAGATGGGTAGAGAGATGGAGAGACAGGGGGATAGACAGAAAGAAGAATACGTAGACAGACTGCCGGCAGACAGACGGCTGGCTTGACAGATAGATCGATAGATAGATAGGTGGATAGCTAGATAGATAGATAGATAGATAGATAGATAAATAGCTAGACAGATAGGTAGATAGATCGATCGATGGATAGGTAGGTAGAAAGATATAGAGGTAGATAGACAGATAGGTAGCTCGATAGATAGATGGATAGATCGACAAATGGATAAACATGCAGATAGACATCCTGGTTTCTCGGTCAACATCTCGCCTTGAGCTCCACCTGCTTTCATTTGGCCCTTGGGGTTGAGGGTTTAGGGTTTAGGGTTTAGGGTTTAGGGTTTAGGGTTTAGGGTTTAGGGTTTATGTGAGCAAGCTTTTTGTAAAGAACTGCACTGGGGCTGGCATCGATTCCCCCTGGCGTGGTTTTGGAACCTGTTGGCCGGATTCGAATTTGGGGCAGTTCGGCTTCGGTGGGTGAAGCGGCTGTCAGGGCACTCTTCGACGCCTACTGCAGACCGTCATTCGCAAGGCCGTGGCAGAATTATTATTGGTGATAGTAGCATCATCTTATGATAAAAACAGTAAAAGCATTCCGAGTTTCTGGGACTTCGCTGCATGTACCTTCTTCGAACCACGAGTTCAACCTTCAGCCGCCTCAAGAGCAGATTCCGTGAAGAAATAGCAGGAAATCGAAAAAATAACCACAGAAGAAATCATGCTCATAATCTTACTTAGTATTCATAGTCATGATGTCACTAGTACTCATAATGGCTAATTAAATAATCATCGTAAGCCGTTTTTCGACAGCCAGCCCTGGCTGCTGCTGTTGTGGGAGTTTCCGAAAATAGGGGGGTACCTTATTTTAAGGTCCTTATAATAAGGATCCTACTATTTAGGGTTTAGGTTTAGGGTTAACCTTTTTAAAAGGATCCTACTATTTAGGGTGCTACATAAGGGGCCCCCATTTTCGGAAACCCCCGTGTGGAGGTCCCGGACTGCAGGCGCAAGATTGCGCAGGCGCAGGGCATTTTTTTGCATGTCCTATTTTCCCGACTGCATCACTGTAATGTAATACGGTATAGTTAATGTTTCAAGTTTGTAATATATGATATATGTCATATGTAGGTTAATCTCGTAATTAAGATGTTTACATGTAGTTGGGGCCTCGCGCATCCTATCTGCACAGATCTTGTCAGCTGTCGAGGGCTGCAAGGCTGACATGTGACGTTTCTTTGGCAGGACTACGGTTTGGCTGCTGAGCTCTACCAAGTTTCCGAGGAAGACAGACAAAAGGCCATCGACTGCGAGCCTGTCTTACGCTCCCTCCGAAGAGAAGGTGATGATGTTGGGGGAACTGGAAGCATAGAAGATAGACCTTAGCGAATCGAAGTTCAGTCGACCTTGTCGGGAAACCCATGACAGTGCTGTACGCAAGTTGCTTCCGGGAGAGTCGGAGCCGGTGCTAGGCAGCTCGTGGCCTATGGCACATGCACTCCATCTCTATGATTCCTGAGTCCTGCCAGCACCACCCAGCTCCCAGCTCCAGTGTGCGAAACAGATACGGTCGCGCTAAGGCAAGTTTGTATGGAGAAACCCAAGATGTGCATGGCGAAGATCGTTAACATACACAAAACTCGTAATCCTCTATGCAACGAAAGCAAAGCCAATCCATTGGCAGTTGTGCGACGGATCGCGTCATCATCATTCCATCATCGGCTTCACCACCATGAAAGCATTTGTCACTCAGACACACCATTCAACTATGAGTATACAGGTTGGGATGTCGAACAACAAGCACGTTAACCGATCCAAGAAACTATACTAAATCACGAGCAGCATGCGAACAAACAAGAGCATCATGGTGACAACATACTCCTGTGTGCAGGAACAGATGGTGATAGACTTGCAACACGTGTTGCGTAACGCAGTTTATATCTGAACTGATCATCTCCATCATCCTTCATCGTCGGCACTGTCATCGCCATCATCGTCAGCAGCATCAGCATCTTGTACCCTTCTGCGGGGCTGCAATCCTTCTCCTCCCGCTCCTCCCATCACCACGATCACCGCACATATGGAAACAACAACCCTGTCGCAACAGCAACAAGAGCACTGGTTTTAAGTACAGTTTCGGAATGCCGACACAGTCCGAAATGCCAGTTTGAAGGGTAGTACGTAGAAGCAGCATCACTGAAGACGAGACCCGTCATGTTTAGGCACGCTCAGCACACTCCCGACAAACCTTCGCCGGCCTGGAAAGCATGTCACAACATTCCTAGAGACTCCAATATCCCTTAATTACGGAATATGCCTCAAATTATAGTAGGATCCCTAATATGATTTAAGGTATCTTCCTTAATTCAGGGATATTGGAGTCTCTGGGTCAGAGATGCCAGGCTATCGCCGATCAATACAGTGAGGTGAAGACGGGTGTCTGGCTGAGCGAAGTGCTTGCTTCTGTGGCTTCTGGGCCCGTGCGACACGGGATGTTTAACTGGGTTTCGGCTTTCCCTCCAAGGCATGACCCTAAACCCCTAAACCCGAACCGCAAGGCATGAAGGACGACAGCTCCTCTTCCGATCATCTGGACTTCTGCGAGCGGGCAAAGTTCGTCCCCATGAGGCATGCTCTTTGACAGGACCAGGCTTAGGGTTTGGTGGCTGTTCCGGGTCCGTAACAACTGGTACATTTTTGTCTCCTCTAGTCTGTTTTCGTATATGATAGTTTTTTGTAGCGGAAGACTGCGCAAGCGCAGTCTTGCAGACTGTGTGCAAGACTTGCAGTTCGTTTCCTTACTTGGGGCCTAGATCCATCTGCCAACATAAGCCGCAGCAGGAAAATATCTATTCATTGAAGATTGAAGACGATGTTTTACGGTTTTGTCTCACAGTGGCTACTGCTATCTACTGCTGCAGCTGCGACAGCCACGTCTCCATCATCCGAGGCCTACGACTAGGGCGGAAGCCCCGACTTAAGGCCTTGCACGAAGCTCTTCGAATTCAGATTACTTTTCGAAAGGGCCCCATCGTACTATAGCCCGAACAGTGCATTGAAGACACGCACATCCAAAAGCCGCGAGTAGAACCGTCATCGGCAGGCTCACATACGATGAGCGGAAGTACTTGCGGCTGATCGATGCGACCATGCACGTGCCCGGCTCGGCCAAAACCCCTTGTCTCCTTATGTCCCAGATTGATATGTTCGTTTTGTGGCTTATCTCGGGAATGGTTCTTCGTCGAGCTTGGCAAGAGTGGTTCTGGCTCAGAAACTGTCGTGTTAAGGTGTCCCACTACACGGACCACATGGACACCGCAGCTAGCGTGAATGCCAACAACGCAAGAAAGCTGGCGTCCGTGCCTCAGAGCATCCATCAAGCTCAAGCATTCAAGGATGCATGGAGTCCCATGCAGGGTCAGGAAGGATCCTTGGGCTACAGCATAAAACCACCCGGCTGCCGACGGCATGCACTGTCTTCAAGCTGTCGTCACGATGCACAGCATGGGCCTACTGTGAGTCACATGACTCACATTTTAAGGTAAGCGACGGCATGTCAACATATCTTTGGTCAAACTGTGGTGTGACGGGTCCACTGACGTCCATCCCAGAGCTGCGCCTTCCCTCGCAATGGCTGGAGTGCTGCCATAAAGCCGCGCATGAACCAGGCACGCCTGCACGAGAGACTTGCTGAGGCGAGAACCGGGCACCACACCGTCAGCTCCCCACCACCTGAAACACCAAATGGCCAAATCCTGGTCCCGAACGGCCCAAGCGCCTCTGCACTGCGAAGATTCCAAATGAACAGCCCTTCCGACATACTCCAGGACGCCAGCTCCGAATCAGACGATGCTGTGGAGTGTGAGGAGGACATTTACTTGGACAGCGCCGGGATCCGCACTGGAGCGGTTTGCACTTGGGAGCTTGAGGCTCTAATGTAGTCATACTTGCAGTGTGGTACCCAACTAGCGCGTAAGAAGAAATGCTCAGCGACGGAGCATGGCTCTCCTGATCTCTCAATAGCATTCAACACCCCATGGGCACTAGAAGCAACCTATCCCTCGAAGCTTCAACGTCCCAGCGCTGAGATGAGTCCGAGATGCCAAGCAAAGCCGCGACATCCTCACACGGGTTGCGCCGAAGAACGGCTGACCCTCGGATGAAGAAGCGGTCGTGGGTCTTTGGATAGCTCTTCTGGGTCACCGTACAAGTTCGCATTTGGGGCTTTGACAGTGTGACAGGCTCAGATCTCGAGAATCGGCTCTGGGCCGGAGAGGCTTCGGATTCACTCGCAGCAAATCCGTAACCTGGGGAATCCGCAAGGCAGCAACAAGCAAGGGAGGACCATGTGACCTGTGGATTTCTCAGGCGCCTACTAAGCCCGCGATGGAAGCGCGGGACGAGACCTCCGACGGCGAGGAGGAGGACGATGAGATTGAGGACGAGGAGGCCCATCCGTGCACTCCACTTTGTGCCCTACTGTAACATATAGCAACCCTGATCCTGGCCCTTCTAGTAACCCAAGCCCCTGCATATCAATCGCATTTGCCCGTCGAGCGGGTCGAGGCCCAAAGAATTGAATTCGAGGCTGCTGGGCTCCAGGCTCCAGATCCAAGGATGGCGGGCGACCTTCATCATCCGCACTGTATCACCACATTTTGTTGCAATGTCGGCAATCCACACGCAAGAAGCATAGACGGATGGCATTGTGCAACAAAAATGAATTACCGGCGGACTCACCAACCAAGTGCATTCAGTCCACTCATACATGAGTGTTGGTTCATACCGTGAATCTCCAAATCAGCAAGCAGACATGTGTGTGTGTGTGTACATATATGTATCAAAACACACGCATTGTTTGCATAAATAAATAAGAAATAAGTATATATATGTATATGTATATGTATACATCCATACACGTGTGCACATATATATATATATATACACATACAGATATACGCAACAGTTTCTATTCTGTAAGTATAGGTATATCTTCACACAGACACACACATGCCAATCTGTACACGCTCCGTGGGTAGCTCTCTAAATTTGGTTTTGCAATAAAGTAAGGCACCCTTTTACAAAGGACCCCCGAAAAGGGACCCTGATTTAGAGAACTACCCCTATAGTCCCTTTATACAAGCCCATATAGAAACCCTTATAGATCCCTTTAAAGGAACCCTAAATGGACCCTAAGTTCGATCAACTTCGCCAGACGCGAAAGCGGCGGCTCCAGGCTGGCCGCACCGACATTCTCGGCTCTGTGGCCGCAAGTGTTCGAGTCTCCCTACTTGGAGGTTCATGGGTAGTTATAAGTGGAGCTATGAGTAGGATAACTATAGTTGTAAGCTATATTAGGGGACTTATAACTCCACTTATAACTACCCATGAACCTGAAAGAAGAATCTCTAACAGCCAAAACGGGCAGCTCTCAGTAGTGTATCTGTATCTGTGGCAACATATAGCTTTATCTATATCCATATCCATGCGTTTTTGTGTTTTTTCGTTGTTAGCTATATCCATTCGATCACTGACCTTCCTTTCCCGGGATCATGCAATGGCAACTCGGGCCAGAGTGAGGGGAGAAGCCTGCAGCTAAGCCAGTATTGGTAGTTGCAACGGTTTCGCTCATCCCGAATCCCTGACACGTGCCTTCCCAGCCTACTTCGTGGTGGCAGGCAAAACTGCAGAACCACCCGAAAACAAGCTGCAAATGCAAAATGAATTTGAAGGTATGGATGGCTGTGCCTTGTTCTGCTTCATCTGGCTCATCACGACGGGTGTGTCTGGGCAGCACCCCATCGACTAAATGGCTACAATGCCACAATTTCATTTATTTGGACTGGCGTCTAGCATGCCTCTCCATCACGTCCTGGTTTCTTGATCAGCTCGGTGTCAGCTTTGTAGATTGCTTCTTGCTTTTGCCCCGTCCCCTCCCTCTCTCGCCCTCCGTCCTTCACTTCCTCCCTTCCTCGGTCCTCGCCGCCCTCCTGTTTCTGTTTCGCACGAGGAAGGCAGGCACTCTCCGCTTACCGGCTGAAGGTCGTGTTCTCGCTGCTCTACTTCAGCATCTGGGCCCGCGATCGCCACTTCTTCGCGCCGCTTCAGCATCTCGCCAGCTTATGGAACCATTTTCGTTCTGCGAAAGGCAGCAGCTTCGGTGATTCTCGCCCACTTCCCGTAGCCCGGAGCGTCATCATCTCAGGCGCACAAAGGTGGGTAAGTTCTTCCACGGCGGAGTGGCGGCGATTCTTGATGCTCGCCAGGCAAGTACAAGAGCTACGTAGTAGCTGTCAGAAGTTGATTGGTTACCGAGCAGAGTGCTCAATCTATGCCCGAAGAACAGGACAGGCCCTAAACCCTAAACCCCTAAACCCCTAAACCCCTAACCCCTAAACCCCTAAACCCTAAACCGACAGGGAGGTAATTACCCCGAGCTAAGGAATGATCCGCTGGACGGTGGCACAGTGAGGGTAGTTCTCTAAATTAGGGTAACTTACTTGGAGGTTCATGGGTAGTTATAAGTAGGGTTATAAGTAGGGTAACTATAGTTATAATCTATATTAGGGTATTTATAACTCCACTTATAACTACCCATGAACCTCCAAGTATATTGGGGTCCTTATAATAAGGATCCTACTACTTAGGGTACCATCTTAGGGTCCCTTATTTTCGGAAACCCCCATGAATGTGCAGTGAGGTGGACATTTCACTTGCAAGTGGGGCAGCGAAATCGCATTGCTCCTCCTGTCTCGTGGTAGTGCTTGCCTGTTTACCGGGTCTGCTCGGAGCAGTATAGAAGCCTGACTAGTTGACAAGATGTTTTTCCTCAGGGTTCCATTATTGCGGGTATACTCTAATGTTAGTAGTGACTAGTGTATCCCAAAAGCCTTTTCCAATCATTGAGGCTTCTATAACAGTTGGGACCAGGGCCACCTGCAGAGCCATTGAAGCAGCCCTGGACGTGGCACAAAGCAGCCCGACTTTGCAGCGATCCTCAGGCCTCGTTTGCCTTACATGCCTTGATCATGCAATGAGTGAAAGACGGTCGCCTTGCAGATCCCACCAACCTGGCCCAGCAAACTCACAGCCCACCCGTTTCACAAGAGTGAATCTTCGAGAACGCGTGTGTTCGAAGGCTGTGAGAGTCGAGATGAAGGGCTGACTCTCCGACTAGCACCTGAGTATTGTAGGGGCCTAAGTATTTACCAATACTATTTTGCGGGTTCCTGATTATAAATATAGTATAATGGGCCCCAAAGCCCTACTCTAATTAGAAAGGCCTCAGCTTGTCTTTCTGCTTGTCGTGCCCCAAGGGTAAGAGCAGCAAAAACCTGCAGACTACCATCCATGAAGAGATAACATGACCCCAAACCTACTAGTAGCTCTGGTGCTCCGGGACTAAAGCAACAACTCACCAAGCTTCAGTGCATAAGCTGTCCAGTCTCCTGGAAACCAAAACTGTACGGAGTGATGGTTTGTTTATCCAGTCCAACGTCAAGGGCAGAGCGTGAACATGACACGCCCAGCTTACACCGTTTCGGGCTTAGGGTTCTTCTAACACCATCAACCTCAAAACGCAGCAAGCCACATGAGCATATTTGCCTTGGATGGTGGCGGTGGGCAAAGAGTGGTTGGACTCGCTGCAGTGCGGCGCGACAGGTTCCGGAGCTCGATTAATTCAGCTTCACTGTTCTTGGTTGTTCTCGCAGCTTTGAGGTTTGCGCAGGTTGTTTCTTGAATTTGCCTTACGGGCTGCGCATTAGGGTTTCGGATGGTTGCAGGGGCTGTCGAAGATGATTTCTGCCTCAAGCCCTGGCGTCTGCAGGCACAGGAAATATTTAATGAACCGAGCAATTATCTTCCAGACCGTTCCCTATTTTCAAGTCACCAGCTGGAGATCCCAGGATCTCATAACAAGCCCCTTAACCACAGGATCCTCAAGCAGGAGCTCTGAAGCCGGAATCAGGCCCTTAAAACGTTAAATTGAGTTCCTGAACCCTACCTGGAGGTTCATGGGTAGTTATAAGTAGGGTTATAAGTAGGATAACTATACTTATAGTCTGTAGAAGCGGGCTTACAACCCAGCCTAGAACTACCCGATGAACCTCCAAGTACCTCAAAGAACGGAGCGGTGATCTCGGCGCACTCAGTGCCACAGGGCGCTGCCGCCTTTGGCCCGCACGATTCTGGCCCTTCGACTGCACGTCCTCAAAGGTTCGTTCCCAGTCCTAAGCTGTTATTAGGGGCCTTCGTAATTACCTATATTATTTCGAGGGCTCCTTATTATAATTGCTAATTGTAGCATAATGGGCCCCCAAACCCTGTTCTAAGTCTTAAGGCCCCCTTTATACC